GGGAGGTGGTGCAGGCTCCTACCCTGGGGGTTTTTAAGAAGAGGTTAGATGAACACCTTGCTGGGGTCATTTGACCCCAGTACTCTTTCCTGCCATGGCAGGGGGTCGGACTAGATGATCTTCTCAGGTCCCTTCCAACCCTAGAAACTATGAAACTATAAAACCCCCACTCTATACATGATGCACCCAGAAAGGGTGCGACACAGCTGCCCTTAGTAAATACTGGGCATACAACCATAAGCATGCCCAAAGCAGACAGCTCTTTCCATGCGCTGCTCTAAGGAAAGTTACGTTGGGCTGCAGGGCACTCCAAGCAGGTCTTCCCTAACATGGGCCTTTGATGGGACAGACATGCCCTAACTGTCTACAGATTAAAAAAAAAACAAACAAAAAAACCCAGCTGACATGGATACCTTCCAGCATAACGTCCACTGCTCCATCTCAGCTCTAAAAGGGTGAAACACCCTAAATGACTTACCTCCCAGACACAGAGAACTGCTACATTTACTAGATATTAAGATTATTTTGAATTTAAGATGACCCCCCCAGCAATTAGATTCTAGACATAGAAAATTATAGCAAATTTATAATTTTCTGTATCTAGAATCTAATTATTGGTGGGTCACCTTAAATGCATCTCTGCGCTGCTGCAGCTGGAAAACAGCAGCAGGGAGGCAGGCAATGGGAAAAGCAGAAGCAAAGGGGCAGGCAAGGTGGGGGGAAGAAAAGGTTGGGGTAAACAGTGAAGAAAGCAGGGTTGAGGAGAAGAAAGCGGGGCAGGCACAGGGGAAAGTCAAGGCTGGGGAAAAGCAGAGCTGCTGATGCTGTCCCTGCCCCTGCCCCAGCTGGGCTCCCTGCACAACTGTTTCTCCCAGCTGTGATACCCTATTCTAAGATGAGGCTTTGTTTTCCCCGTGATGAATGGGGGAAAAACCCTTGATTTAGAATTGAGTAAATGTGGTAACTTAACAAAACACAAATCATCTTAGCCATTACTCTATCTGCATCTGTCCCTAAAAGAAAGGGAAAGCAAGTATTGTGGGGGGAATAGAGAGATGGAAGGAGCCTTTGATGTATACAAACTTGTCTCATATACAAAATGTGGTATCACTGAAATGAGGGGTGGGCAAGTGGACCGTGGTGGGGCCAACTGGGTCAGAAACTGAAGATGCATCTGAAAAGTAGGACCAAAACATAAATTGCCTGCCTACATTGCACCTGCAGCATGTACAACTATACGTGCAAACTGTGTGACTACAGACACCAGCAGCCAAGGGGAGAAGGGGGAGGTCTGGAAAGTCCAAACCTGATCCCAGTTCCTGAAAAATCAGGTCAGTCGGCGCCCAGCAATCCTGCCCTGACTCCTCCTTTCAATTTGTTGAACATATTCTCTTGTAAGGTCGGTGGCTCTGGTCCTTGATGTGCTAGAGGATCTTTCTGGGTCAAGTTATCTTCTCTTCGCCTTGGGGTTGTCCAAACAGGGGGATCTTGTTATCCACCATTCTCAGAACATGGACAAAGTAAGTCCACCTTCTTGCCTGTACCTTTTGTGCAGCCAGTGATAACTGTATGTGCTCCAAGATTTCCACATTCTTTATTGGAGCAAGGTAAATATCTAATATCTGGGCAAGGTATCCACACAGAAAGCTTATTCACTTTCCTTGGAGAGACCTGCTGTTTTTCTATGACTGATCCATACAGGGGTATGCCTAGGACACTGCTACTTAAAATTCACAGCTTACTGCTGATGGTGTTAGATGTCTCTTTACAATATTTCTCCTATGTACCAGAATGCAATGCAACTTCCCTGACTAGAAATTTATTTACTACAAAGGGACCAGTAAGCTTGTATAAAGTTAGCAGTAGGAAATGTGCTCTAGATTAAAGGGAATTAAATGGCTCTGAATGTTTAGATGTGGCTCATTGGCTATGATTAAAAATTTCTCTTAGTAGTGTTAAACTACTTTGTTATAGGCTTACCAGAACATAATGGACTAAAATATTTCCTGGATATGTCTATCTGGTGCGAGGAGTGCTGGGCTGAGATGCACGACAGGCATACCATGCACGCTAGCTCTCAAACTGAACATAGCGTAACCAGGTTAGTATAGTGCTGCAAACATGCCAGTAAGTTCTGCCTTGCAGAGGGAAACTGAGGGTATATAAGCCATTGCTATATTTTTGTCACCAAAATCCATAGCAATTTAGACTGCTCCATAATTATTGCACAATTATAGAAGTCTGGCACTAGAGAGATTTGTTAACTGACTGCCCAAGATACTCTTGTCACTAATACTCAGTCTCTGTCCCATACGTATGGGATCTCTTCTTTAGTAAATATTATTTCATGGAGCTTTTACCTCTAAACCATTTAATACGGCACCTGCTTGGTGAAACATTCCTTGGAGATCTCAGAAGAGCAGAGACTCCCTATGCCTGACAAAGGGTGCCCATGCCCGAAAGCTTGTAAATAACTTTTTTCCAAATACTGAGTCTAATAAAAGATCTCACATCTACTCAAAGAAGTTTGCCTGCCAAACATTGAGACACATTTCCACTGTTGTGGTCTGTTTGTCTTCATATGTGAACTCAAAGTTCTAGGCTGTAAGAAGGCAAGCACACACGATGCTATCTAAAAATCAGTGGGACCTGAAGATAATTCACTGTCATGAACAGGACAGACAAAGGGTGGGAAAGGGAACACAGCCACAGAGAGATTAAATTACTTGGATGAGATTGCACAGCAGTTCAGTACCAGGCACTTGCTTGGCTACCGTTGGCCCTCAAGTATGTGGGGATGGAGGGGATGGCTAAACTTTTTTATTGACACTGATGAGCAAACTTATAAGTAATGAATTATAAGTAATGAATAATGTACATACATTACTGTATATACCAAATATCTAGACACACAAGAAGGTAAAACACACCCGATTAATCTCTTCAATAACTGTATGACAAAGTGCTTTCTGATTTGCTTAGTGATGATCTGATTGTCACTCAGTCATGTTTTACTGATCCACACTCATTTGATGTCTGTCTTATGTTAAGAAATCTGAGACCAGTTTCTGATGTACTTATGTGCAATGGTATCTTAGCTCATAAGCAGTCCTGATCATTTCAACACGGGTGGTTGGTGCATAAGGGACCAAACCCCCTTTCAATAAATGTACAACACACAGCCCATGGCTACTGCACTGCCAAGCAACAGAGGATAGCTCAGTTGGAGGAAAGGGCAGTATGGTCTAGAGCAATGATTTTCAGCCAGGGTACTATGGCACCCTGTCATGCTTTGAGATACTTTCAAGTGTGCTCCGAGGTGCCAACTAATATTTGCACTGATGTGTACAAACATGAGTTACAGGATAAACCTAGAAATTTCAAAAAGGAATCCACAGAGTCAAAATAAATTGCCTTGTTGTGGTCTTTCTGAGTTCTTTGCAACAGGGGACTTGCTCTATTATGTTTTTGTAGTCCAAACATGAGTGAAAGCTAAGAACTGGCATTTTCAAGGGAGCGTCTCAAGTCTAAAAAGATTGAGAACTACTAATCTAGTGGACAGGTCAATGACTGGGAATCAGTAGTGAATATTCCTGGCTGTGCTACTAAATTGTTGTATAACCTTGGTCACATAACTTGAACTTTCTGTGGCTGTTTTCTGTCCAAGACTTGGTGTACCTAGTCAATCAAGCCTGTAAACTCTTCAAGAGGACTTTGTGTCAGTAAGTGGCCATACTCTGTCTCCCACAATGGGACTCCCATCTCATTTAGAAATTCTAGGTGCTGTGAAATCCTATGAAGCTTCATGTCTTGTTCTGCGCAATCTCAACTTTCATAATCCTCTTTAACTGTTACAGTGAGCAGAGTATAACCCATGCGGAGATACCTACATCAGTCTGCAAAGCACATGCACCAGTTACTCTGGGAGGTATGAACTGACTTTGCATGTCAGTGCAGTAGTATATACTGACTCCACAATGAAGATAATTTCAATGTCAATGTTGCCAATTATTTCATTTCTTGTTACAAATCTGTACAATTTACCAGGAGTTACAGTTTATTTTGGCACCACGCATAGGTGCCAGCTGGAAGACACCTCTACAAAGGAGGAGCCAAAAATGGGTGTGTAGTAGCCCCAACTAAAAAGGAGCTGAACCCAAAAAAGTTTGTGGAACTAGGTGGCACATGCAATCACATTTTGAACATCTGTAGAAACTACCATCAATGGAAATTTGTTTGCAAAGCTCACAAAGATGGGGCTTATCTTCTGATGGGCACGGAAAGAATCTGTCTATTAGTACTTGTAAATCGTGATCTATGTATCGTTGGCTGTCATAGTAAGCATTATGTACATCAAGAACAACTAGCAAAACTAAACCCAATTGATTAGGATTCGGACTGGACAAGTTTCCACATTTTGCAATAGATAACACTTACCTCTATTTCCAAATGAACACAACTTGCAAGTCCCTCTCTGGCAATTGATTCTACAGTCTCTCTTCCTAGGCCATAGTAATAGCCACTATATTTATAGGTTGCAATAAATTTCCCCTGAAAATAAACACAGTAATGCATCATGACAATGGAAAGACTGTGATGACAACTGTCCTACATGGTAGCATGGTAAAAATGATCATTCTAGACTTCTTTGGATCCCATTAGTAAAAGGCCCTACCATGCCTAAATCATCAATGATAACGAGGCCACGGAGTGCAAAATTTGCAGCAAAGAGCAGGGGCCCAAGGGTACAGGTTTGTACACTGTTCATGGATAATAAAACATCAGTTCCTGTAAAACAGTTTGCTGACAGGTTACAGCTTTTCATTGGTTATTCATTCACATGGGAAAAGAACATAAGATCTAAAGCAAGGGCATCTTCCTTTGATTCTGCATCAAACCATAATGCAGCATCGGATGAAACAGAAGATACTAAAGATGAGAGGGGAGACATAAAGCAAACCTGGAAGGAGACTATATAATTGAAAGGGAAATTTCAATATTAAAACTTGGGTAATGAAACTTTGGTACTCCACAGCGTGTGCCCAAAGAGATGTAAATATCTGACACTGAGGAGGAGTTACTAAACACACTCGGTGGCTTAAGAATTTCTGGCCTTTCCTGCTTGTGGGGACAGAAATAATGAGCGGCAGCAGGGCGTTTCAAGATAAAACTGCACTGTAGGACCAGAAGCACAATAGAAGCAGTAGCTGAAGGGATTCTGCCCATAGAGGAGAAAGGGACAGAGAAGATGCTTTCTGGGTGAATTTCCTGTCCTGTGGTCCCAGCAGGGCTGTTGAAAAAGATGACAAGCCATTTGAGACTTCCAGCACCACTGTTCTCCTAACCCACATGGGCTATGTGCATATGCAAATAAGCAGCTATTTAATTGTAAGACAGTGTAAGATTCCAGCTGAGCATTTGGCCTGTTGTACTCGGCACTTCTGTAAGCACGATAAAAGACGGTGTAAACAGCCATTTGTACATCTATGCATCAGCTGCGGTTACTGTTCATACGTGTTGGTTACATAGTGATATACACAATTTTTTTTCCAGAAATTAGGTCCTTAAAAGCTTTTTTTTCTAAAGGGAGGAGCAATGGACTTACTGATGCCACAGAAACAGGCCTACTTAGACACTCCTCCAATGCTTACCATGTTCACCATTTTAACAAATGCTTCCTGAGAAACGAAGTAGAAATCAAGTCTGTTTTCTTCTCCAAAATAGGGCGCTCTCGTGGTATGACAGGGACTGGAAGATATATAGGATAATAATGAAATAACTTGTTTTCAATCATTGAAGCAGCTATATAGTGGGATGGAGAATAAGGAAGAATGCTACAAATCATTTTATTTTAAAGGAGAGAAGAAATATGAGAAATATAAAGCGGCGCAAATCATACCCCTAACGCTGCGTATTTGAAAGACTAACTTATAAATACAAAAAAACTGTATTAATATAACATTATATTTTGGCTATAAATCTAAAAATGCCAGGACAGCCCGAGCTGACACTGTCACAGCACCCTGAAGTTGGGAAAAGATGGATTTGTTTGTTTGCCTGTGTCAATTCCTGGTGAGCAGGGAGAGGAATTTTAAGTAGGGGAAGACCTGGAGGGGGTTAAGTTGAACAACGCATGGAAGGAGTAGGTAAAACAGAGGTTCTCAATTTTGGGGGGGCTCAGGGCCCTCCCCAGAAAATGCCAGTTCTTCACTATCACTTGTTTCTGGAGTACAGAAAATTCTTCTGTTGCAAAGAACTTAGGAAGACCGTAGCAGGTCCACTGGGTTTCCATTTGAAATCTTTGACTTTATGTTGTGAATCGTATGTAGGCGTTTTCACATCTAATAGCAACATCCTTAAAAGCATCTCCCAGCTCCCCAGGATGCTGCAGAACCCTGGCTGAGAGCCACTGAGGTAGAACAACCAGGCAGATGCTAAAATTGCAATGCCAAAATGAAATCAGAGCTGGGATCAGTGGTCAGCTGGAGGTAGGACAGGAAGAGGAACTATTTCAAATGGTCACTACCACATAAAACAGTGTAATGCACCTGACATGGAAACTTTATTCTAGAATAAAATGAACATGAACTTGAATCTGGCTCTTTATTTAAGTTCATGTATGAAGAGATTTTGGTTTAAAGGTTTCAACAATTTTCTACTCATTCTGCTGCAATTAGCCATTGTGCATCTGGTCTCAGCCACTCACAGCAGTGGATCATGCCCTATTATTGGCAGATGATACCTTGCCTTTTTTTTAATTTACATTGTAGGCAACTGAAACAAAAACGTCACGCAGATCTATGGTGCAGACTTACACTGATAACATTTTGTCTCCTTGACTTTTGATAAATCCGGCAAAAAGTCATTCACATCTAAATTAGGCTGAGCCTGGCTGATAATGAGTTTTAATCAGTTTTGTGACATAAAACCGGGCAGACAGCTTACATGCTGAAGGCTAGGGCCAAACTGAACATTACAGCTCATTGCTACAGTGACATAGCGTATTGTGTAGACGCGCCCAGTGGCACTCAATGTTTATCCCTTGCAGGCCAGATAAGTGGCTCTGGGCTGGTCCGTGGGCCAAATTGCGGGCCCATGTTTCCTCCACCCAGTCTGCACACCTGAATCATGCTCCACGTAGCCTCCGCTGGGATGAGGACCTACACTGCCCAGCGTTCCCGATCCAGCCTGCAGGGCCACACTATCTGGCCCAGGGAGTTCCCCACGGAAAATCTGGCCACTGCTCCCCTGCTGCCAAATGTTCAGATCCATGGGAAGCCCTTTGTTCACTGGGGGCTGGATCAGATTCATGGGCCAGTGGTTGAGTACCTCAGTCTAGGGCAAGGGACTGGAAGGCAGGAGTCCTACATTCCATTTCCAAGCTTGACATCCACCTGTTTTATTTGGGTATGGGGTATCACTGAAGACAAACCACATACAAAACCAGGAGCAACAGTCTCAAGTTGCAGCAAGGGAAGTTTAGATTGGATATTAGGAAAAAATTCCTCACTAGGTGGGTAATAAAGCACTGGAACAAGTTACCCAGAAAGGCGGTGGACTCTCCATCCTTGGAGGTTTTTAAGACAAAACCCTGGCTGCAATGATGTAGCTGGGGCTGGTCCTGCTTGGAGGAGGGGGTTAGACTAGATGCGACCTCCTGAGGTCCCTTCCAACTTTCATTTTCGATGATTCAATACTTGTGGGCCTGAGTCTCAGATATATTCTGTAGTTTTTATATTGCCAGGGCATGGTAAAGGGATCCTAATATAAGAGAAAATTCTAATCCTATGTCTACTACTTCACCTGCCAAAAGCAATGCAAGTACCGCTTGTTCTTAATTTGGAATTGCAAATATTTCATTTAATTCTCTTTTTTGTTCCAAAGGTGTTTCAGTTGATTCTTAACAATATAATGAGTCTATTCTGATCATTTGAGGGTTTTTAAATGAAAACCATGCAGCACTTACTTGTCTGGTTTCTTTGTAATGTTGCTTATTGATGAATAAATATATACAGTTCTGGGGGGAAAAAAGCCCTGTCAGACTAATTTATTCTATTTTTTCCCCTGTATTAAGATATTAGGTATAATGTTGAAGAAGTTCTTTTCTTTTCTTTAAGACAGCTGAGTTGTAAACCACTAAGAAGTCAAGTTTATGGTGCAGAGGTTGACAGATCTTTAAATGTAGCAGCATTAGAGAGTGCCACTATTTTATCAGTAAGCTGTGGTAAATGAGAACAGTGTGCTACACATGGGCTATATAAAACTTTCACTTCAAAGGCTGATTTTTGTAAAGATATTATAAATGTACCCAGCTTTAAAGGTCATTCCTGCGCACTAGCCAGATGGTTTCCAAGTCTAATTTCACTTTATTTTTTGAATCTCTTTTACACGTTACAACCCTTTTTAATTGCAAGGCCATGTTTACATTCAACTTGCCAGGATATCTTGCATGAAATACATTTTTAATGAGTGGAATGTTTGAAATTTAAGAGAGTAAGCCATAATATTGCCTAAATCTCCACTGAATAATTTAAATACAACTTTGCTTTATGGTTGCAATTTTCTGCTCCGTTAAGATTCTGTCTCTCTTTCTCCCTCACACATAATGCTTTTAGGGAATAAAATGTATACTTAAAAAAGACATGTTCTTCAAAACCACACAGTGAAAATTCCAACCAGTTTGCAACTGGTTGCAATTGCAAACCTTACAAAATTTTAGTAAAAAAATGGAGTTGGCACATTTGATTTTTCCAGTCATGTAATCTTTGCAGCTTTTCTGTCAAATGTCCATTTGACTTCCTAAATTAGCTCATGAATCTAGTGTTTTTATATAT